ACAACTTAGACTTGGGTGAACTGTTACAATTGTCTGGATTTGCAACCATAATATGGAGAGGTGTCCATGGAGAGATCACATCTCCACCCCACAACACATCCCCGCCATGTATTGAGAACATCTCCCGATGATAGTACCAGTTTTGATGATGTCATCATTGAGAGATGTTTCCAATACACAGCGGGGATGTGCTGTGGGGTGGAGATGTGAACTCATCCATCCGTGCGAAAGAGTGATGGGATCTGCTCCTCATAAATGGGCGCCTCACATGCACATCCACCGTGCATTGGAAACATCTCCCGTGAATAATAACAAATAAGTACGGGAGATGTTCCCAATGTATGATAAGATGTGTGTGTGAGGCGCCAGGTGTGAGGAGCAGATCCGGTCTCAGCAAAAGAAGATGGACAAAATAGGGTTTAAAGAAAGAGAGCCACTGGTTGTGGAATTTGATGGTGACCGGCAGGGGTAGAGTGTGAGGTAGGAGAGAAAGAGGAGAGGAAAAGGGTTAGGGCTCGAAGAGAAAAAATGAAAATAAAATAAAGCAAAATGAAAATTTCGAAATCTCTCTATGGGACAGACTTGCACACAAGAATGGTCATTCTCGTGCAAAACCGATGTGGAATTCACCCCACAACCCGCTCAACAGTATGGGGCATTCAGCAAATCCAAACTTTCGTACTTTATTTTGTTATTCATTGGAATATATTTTTCAATGCAGGGCTGCGATGCGAGACCGGATCTGCGATGCACTGACGCGGTCAATTCCCAATTCCTGTGACCATGAGGCATCTAATATATATATATATAAGGTAATTTTTTTAAACTACCCTTATGGTTTAGTTAATTGACTAAGTGTACCTTTACTGTTTGAAAATTGACTAATGCTACCCCTACTATTTCTTATAATTGACTAATATTTCCCTTATTGTTAACGTTCCGCCAATAAGCCATTCAAATGTGTCGTCACATGATTGTTATAATTTTTAAAAATACCGAATTACCCTTTTATGTGCGAAAATGCCCTTTTCATTTGGGAGAGACGATTGTGACTATTGGTATCAACTCGTCATCATCTCCAATAATTGCTTCAACTACTATCAAATTACAACTATCGAGAGTCCAGAAGAAGCATTGGATTCAATGGTTTGGGCTCTATGGAGACAATCCTTTATCTCCTTCACTTGGTACTCCGTCTCTCTCTCTCTCTCTCTCTTTCTCTCTCTCTCTCTCATTCTTTGTTATGCACATTTGACCCAACAACTTTCTGTTTTCTACAAGACACTATGTTAATTCATTTTTTAGTTCAGGTCATCACTAATTGTGGCCTTTTGGGTGGTAGTAGTACTAGATTCAAAAGGACGAACAACACATCGACCTAGGATGGAGACTTGGAAAGAGAACAAATAAATAAAATAAATTATAAGATTATGGGAAAAGAGAGCGCGTGCAAGTGTTAATGATGTCATTCTCACGAGAAAATGCTCAAAACATAGGCTCCTAAAGCTCTCATCTCTCTGTCTCACATTGAGGTGCAAAGAGGAGAAATAGAGAGGAAAAGAGGAAGAAAGAGCTATGAGGCAGAGCAAAGATGAAGACAGAGAAAATAACCTTGACTCCAAATGCCCTTTACACTTTTCTAAAGATGTCAAAGGATTTTTCTTTCTTCAACAAGGTGTGTATGATATTGGACTTGCTTCTTTGTCGTTTATTTGCTCACTTTGTTCTTCTAGAACTTTTGTTTTGGGTAAAAGTTGTGTGGATGATCTTGAAAGTTTCGCTCTCCTTCTTTCCTTTTTTTGCATTATTAATAGATGGGTTTGTGTTTCTGTCAAGGATTTGATAGGAGAAAGTTTTCTTATGTTCTCTCTAATCCTCCTAATCGTCTTGCTACTCGGCCAAATCCGCTTAGAGGAAGGGGAGAACAAAGATGGGGAGGGGTGAAGAAAGAAGATCACCGCCCATGCCGGAAGTTGCAACGACGACGGTGATTTTGATCGATGAAGACTAAATTGGATGTGGGCAACAAAGAATATGTTGAGGAGGAGCTTTCAAGGGTAAAATGGATATTTCAGCCCTTCCGTGAATGGTTTAACGACATTGGTAATTTTCTAAGACAGTAGGAATAGCATTAGACAATATTCAAACAGTAGGGGTATATATATATTAGTTCCCCATTCACACACGTGGCCGTACAATATTGCATGTAGATAGAGATAGTATGTCACATACCTATTTTTCAGCAAACTAAAACCTCTCATTCCACTATGTATGTAGTCGGTTGGAAGGCCATGTACCTAAATTGTAGGAAGATGAGGGGTTAATGGGTTACTAGTCTAGGTTTCAATCCTATCAATTGAACTGCAACTATGCACTTTTGTATTGAGTTCAATTTGCCTAAATTTGCAATTTTAGAGAAAGCAAAACTTCAATCGGGTTCCTCAAGCTGCAATTTCATAGAAGCAGTGATTCAATCCAATTAGACTGCAACTTCAAAGAAGCGGTAGTTCAATCCAGTTAGTATATTTACATGCTTTGTTTTTCAGTTCTTCCGTGTTTCATATTCTGCTCAATACGAAGTTAATTGCTTGCATCAATAAGTTTTAACAATTTTAGCCTTTCAATCTCTGTTCACTTCTTAGTTCATTATTACTCCTTTGTTACTGTTTTAAAATTACTATTATTAGCTTTATACTGTTTAGAAATAATCATCGACCATGCCCGGTCGCAAGTGGCATGAGCTTCATAGGATACACGTTGTTTTCTGAATGCAGTAGGAACCAACGCTTAAGAAGATGATGGATCGACTAAGTCGGAAACAACTATGTATTCAGCCAACGACTGGCAATCATTTATGCCCGACCGCCAGTGGTTGGGAAGTTCATTATAATGGCTTCCATTAAACACCGATGAACTGCATTCACCTAGGGGTGAGCATAACTAGTTCGGTCTAATTGTTTTTTCGACTAGTTTCGGTTTTACTATTCGGTTATTTTGCATTTCGGTTTTCGGTTTTGGTTATTAGTTGATAAATCAATTAACCGAAAAAACCAATTTAATTTTATAACTAATATTTTTAATATTATTTATATTATAATTTACAATTTTATATTAATATTTAATATATTATGCAATATACATCATTACTTCATTTAATGCCAACTTTCCAGAAAAAGTAAAACTCAATAGTGCAAGACAAGTAAAGAAAAGCAAAATTCAAAAGAGTGAAAGATAAGTAAACTATTGGGCATTGGTTGGCACAGGAGTCTAAGCATCCTCCTTCCTCAATCGTCTCTCTCTCTCTCTCTCTCTGACTCAGTCTCTCTGACTCTCTTAGTCTCTCTAGTTTCTCTCTAAACTCTAAAGACTCTAATCTCTCGGTCTCTCTGACTCTCTCAACCTCTCGTTTTCCCTCCCTTAGAACTCCCAATTGATCTGATTCTCTCACTTCTTCATAGTCATCACTGGTGGAGTAGAGAAGTAGCGGTAGCAGCAAACGATCCCCAACATCTCTCTCTCTCTCTCGCTCTCTCGCTCCTCTTTCCCTTTTTTCCCTCATTTTCTTCCCCTTCTTCCACCTTTCCCTTGTTCCTGGTTGATTGAGATCACCGTTGTTGCATCAACTTCCAGCAGTGGTGGTGGATCTCCTATCTCTCTCTCTCTCTCTCCTATTATCTTCTCTTCTCTCTTATTTTTCTTCTTCTTAAAAAAAAAGGTTCAGTTTAATCGGTTTTTACATATTTCGGTTTCAGTTCGGTTTGCCATTTTGTTAAATTGGTTTTTTCAGTTCGGTTTTCAACCGAAACCGAATGATCACCCATGCATTCATCGGCGGTTGTGATCACAACCCAACTACATTTTCTTTTTATGTTTTGATTTTTCCTTTTTCCCTTCTTATTCTCTTATGTTATTTCGAATATTTAACACATATTTTTGTTGAAATGGGCGATAAACCACCCATTTCAAACACGTGGCATCCTAAAATTTAATTAAACATCTCAGAAATAGGCTCATTATCCACTCCTGAAAAACTGCCAAAGTGGTTACCTTTAGTCACAAACAAATTTTAATTTTAATTGAGAGCCCTACGGTTCTAAAACTGATTGTGCATTAAAGTTATGTGAATTACCAAAGTTTAGTGTAATTAGAAAATCTATTATAACAATAATACTTAGTAACTAAATATTGATTATTAATAAGAATATAAGAAAATAATCATCACCATTACTAATTAAAAATAATATTAATATTTAGTTAAATAATTAAGTAAATATTACATTTTGATTAATCTTTAAATTATTACAGTAAAGATTTTAATTATAATAATTATTATGATAATAAAATCACTAATTAAATACTTAATAATTACAACAATAATTATTTAACTAAATATACAATATAAATAATCTTTGAAAAATAGAGAAATAATAACAAAAAATTAGACCTTTTTTACTTAAAAAAAAAAGATTCACTCCTAGGGTGGAGCTAGGATTTCTAGAGGTGTATTCATGGATTGATGCCAAATTTATGTAGGATGCGGTTTATAGGGGGCTACTAGTAGATTAGGAGGGGCTCCAAATCAGATTTCCAAGGGGACGACAGTCAACAAATCCCAAAAATAAATCAAAAACTACTAGCCCCATACTTAGTATGAGGTCATTCTCCGGTGAATCATGAAGTACGGAAAAATAAAAAATAGGATAAATTATAAAGACCCCCTTACTATGGGGTCTGTGACAAAGACCCCCTGTACTTTGTTTTGCAACAAAGACCCCCCTGTACTATAAGCATGAGACAAAGACTGTTAAGCTAGACGACGGAATGCATTAAATTATTAAAATACCCCATTAAACTTTTTTATTTATTTTTATCTTTTTTTCTTAAAACCTATTTAACCTATTATTTTACCATATCACTGAGACACTGTGTTTAGCTAGAGACATCTGCGTTCTCGGTTCCCACAGAACGTAGCCTAGATGGACACCATGTGTTTCAGTGTACTAAAAATCAAAAACTGTGGACATCGATAAACATAAATGCCTAGCAACCCAAGGCCGAAGGTCAGTTTGTTTTGCATGGAATGGAAGCATGTTCGACAGCATAACTTTTGTTGAAAAGGCCATCCACCTCTCACTTGGATTCTACAAGGCCTCGTTTGACAGTAAGTCATCGTACTGTCAAAAACTCCCTGTACAATGCGACGGAACCCACTGCGGGCTGGCAGCGAGAGAGTGAGCGCTCCTCTGAAGACCTAAGGCTTGCTGTAGCCTCTCTTACCTTTCAATTTCAGCAAGAAAATAACACCCAAAAGTATTGCAGCGGCGGCGGATTCGAACCCGTCACCGACACCTCCGCTTCACCGCCGAGAAATGAACAACCCAAGAAGAGAGAAAAAGCATACCTGCTTCCTCTAAAGGCACCGACATTCATGGTTAACTGGTCAATGAGCCCAGCCGATTTGGGCTCCACACTTGACGCCTTGGCGTACTTTACCCCTAGACCCTCCCCGGATGGCACGAATAACAGGGCATAGAAATCAAAAACAGCAGAATCGCAACTAGAAATCAAGAAAAAAAATGTGGGATCTTCCTCGAAAACGTCATTCGTGATGCCATCACCTACACAAAGCACGCTCGTCGAAAGACTGTCACTGCCATGGACATCGTCTATGCTCTCAAGAGGCAGGGCATGACTCTCTATGGGTTCGGTGGTTAGGGTTTCTTGCATCTAGGAGTGAACTAGTGAACACGCTCACCGGAAGACCGTCACTGCCATGGACGTCGTCTATGCTCTCAAGAGGCAGGGCAGGACTCTCTACGGGTTCGGTGGTTGGGGTTTCTTGCATCGAGAAGTGAACTAGTGAAGATTTTACTTTGTTTTTTACTTCTCTTATATCTCTTATGGGCATTTGTTAATACGAAGGGAACCGGAGACTCTCCTCCTGCTGCAGTTACACTTGCGGAGCCGGAGCCGGCGTCACATCCCACGATCATAGTACAGGGGGTGGTATCGGAAGGATAGTGTATCCGAAGGTCGGAGAAGATTTAATAGTTCTTATAAGGGTAGTATGGGTATTATAAAATATTGTAACGGAAACGGAAGGGAATCTTTGTCTCACAATTATAGTAAGGGGGTTTTTGTCGCAAAACAAAGTACAGGGGCTTTGTCACAAACCCATAGTACAAAGGGGGGGGGGTCTTTGTAATTTACCTTAAAAAATAAAAATAAAAAAAATAAGCCAACGTTTCAGGCTTTCAGCTTTGTGCCTTCGAAGCGCCAACTTCAGTCACTCATCAGTGCCAACCTATCTCACTGACTTCTCAATCAAGCAGACGAGCACGTCGCGGAGGCAGTGGCATCTCCAAATCTCTCTCTCTCTCTCAATCCCAATCTGTTACTTCAGTTACGCGTGCTACAAGCTTGACTCTTTCCGACATTTACAAATCTAGCAGCGGGAGGCGACGGTCACCTTCTTATTCTTAGTTTTTTTGTCTATTCCAAAACTAGGTTTTTCTAACTCTTTTTGTTTCAGTTTTTTTTGTTCATTTTTTTTTTCTTATGGTTATGGTGGTGTAATTGCTGAACCGAAACCTGAGTTAACTCTTTTTTTTTTTTTTTTTTGACTGTTACTCTGATTCATTTTGGAGTCAACAAAGATCACCGGCGTAGAGCAACCAAATTAAACCCACCTATCAAGCTGACGAGACAGTCAACCGAAAAATATATACTTTATTCTGCAGCATTTGCAAAATTCTATGGCTTGCCAAAAGGGGTCAAATAAGTTACATGGGTTATGGCAATTCGACCACTTTAGTTTTTGATCTAGAAGATTGCTATTCGCTTTTCAGTGTCCTCTTGAAGTTGAAAAGAATCTTTCCAAATGAACCACATCGGTTCATTATCTTGTTCTCTCAAGCTTCATTATTCAGTTTTCTCAAGCTAACGCTTTTTCCTATGATGAACTTGGTTTGTGCCTTACAGTCTCCGACCTAAATAATTAAAGAAGCTCTCCTTACTCTACTATATCTCAAGTATTCATTGTAGAGAATTGTACTTTTGTTTGGATGAAGAGAAAGCACCTGAGTCAGTGGCAGTAACGAGGGTGATAACATTAGAAAAAAAAACCCAGAATCTGGTATCCTTTAGGAGAGCAGAAGGGGAGGGATGAGAGAGGCAGAAATATACAAAAATGGAAAATACCCTACATAATAGGTTGAATTGAGCTGTTAATATAATCGGTCTTATTGCGTTAGACCCCAAAAGTCCTGTTTGATAATTGGGTCAGTTCTGGTTCTGTTATTATAGACCATTTAGGGGCTGGTTCAGAACTGGTTCTGCATATTTCATTGTCAATTTGGGACCAAGTCTACCTTGACTCGGACCAGACCTGACCCATTGATAACACTGGTGCCAGAGAAATGAAGATGGGGATTTTGGGTTTAGGAAAGCTGAGGGGTAAAAATGGCGCTTTACTTGGGAAGGGGCCTTGGAGATTCCCGTTGGAAGTTGGAACCACATATTCTGCCATTTAATCATCAAAAGAAAGTATGGGCTTCTCCAAATTGGGTGTATTGTATCCGTATCGTGCATCCAGATACACATAAGTATACTGATACAAAAGCATTTTGTAAAATTTAAAAAATTTGGAATTGTGGGCCCCAACCATCTAATGATTATAAGATAAAAAAAAGAGTATTGGTGATATCAAAGCACTGATACCCAACTAAATTGAATCTTGGTGGATGCAGTCAGCAGTCTAGGCCTCTAGGGTGCCCATGCCCTTCTGAAACAGGGGATTTTTCAGAGATTATACAGTTAGTTGGAGTTGGTAATTCTTTGAGAGTGGAACTGCTTGCTCTATTGTGGGGTCTTAAATTTGCTTTGACTAGGTCACTAGGAGATGGAGAGGTTGGTGGAAACTTAGTTGTGATAAACTGGTTATGATTGGAGGGGATGGGCCATTGCCTCTTGGATTTTTGTTGGGTGAAGTTAAGTTCTTAGCAACCAATCTGAATTGATCATTCAGATGGGTTCCATTATCAGTAGATAAAAAGGCACATACTAAAGCAAGAAATAGAATTAGCAGAGGTAATTTTTTGTTGGAGTAATACTGAACCGAAACTGATCTGTAACTGATTCCTTTTAGCTTTGGGATTTAATTGTGTTTTCATGTCCTTGGTTTTTTGTTTCTTTTTTGACAAATGTATGGTGATTGTAGTTTCCTCCTTTTGTCCCCCCAATTTCAAAAATGTTTGAATTGAGGGACTTTGCTTTTTTACTTCTCATGATTATTAAAAGTTTGCATTTGTTATTGATAAAAAATAAATATCTTGCCTATCTTTTTAAAATTGTTCATCAATGTCTATAATAAGATAATATTGATTCCAGATGTCCTTGGGAATCTATTCTGTGCACACCTTCCCGAGACACTTTAATTTCTTTTCTGTATTTTCACACTTAGAATACCATCTTCCCCTGTGCTTCCATTGTCTTTCCTGGTTTTCATCCTTGCAATGTTTTTTTTTTTTTTTTTAAAGATTATTTTAGTAAGATTACAGGAACATATGCTTCTATTGTAGTTTCCATGGAGGCATGGACTTGGTGGCTTCTCCTAGTGTGAATATAACTTCTCTACCTTTTCTGGTTATGATGGTCCTTTACTAAGCCCATCTGATTTCTTTTCTTTAGGCATCTATTATAGACAATGGAGGAAGAAATTGTTATGAAGTATATTCAAAAATGACTTTGACAAGGAGATAGAAAAAAAATTATCCTTTGCATAAATCATTATGAAAGGAACAAAAGGTATGAGTTTGGCAAACAAGATTCAGAACGATGAACCTTCTGTGTCATTTCTTAGAGTTAAAATGTTCTAGTTCAAAGAATATTATTTGACAATGATTGCTCGATACTAATTTGTGAGGAGTGGGTAGGGAAAGAAGGGGAGGAATGGGGAATGATTTGGAGACTAGTTTATGAGCTTTTAGTGGAGATTCATATGGAGGAAGAGCAGTTATTGGCTGTTTAAACACAGGGAAAGGAAAATTATGGTGAGGTTGAGCCTAACTTGGTGAAGATTGGGGATGGTGTGGAAGGTCTGGATTCATATGTGGTTTGGCAGGCAGGGGTGGAGAAAGGTTCCATGTTATAGATATGGCAGAAAGGATGGGTCTAAAAGTAAGTGAGATTCCAGAGGTGAAAATGTATACCAGAAAGTCTGAGGAGAAGAGAAGAAAAAGAAAAAAGAAGCTGTCTAAGGTGGAGAGGTTGAGAATGGATGTAGAGGGTGACCTAGAATTCAGTGAGAGGGGAGAAAGAAGAGGAGGACCTAAGTGATTTAGAAATTCTAAGGCGGGGCAGTTTTTCAGGTCAATGATGAAGTTGATCAGCTGGAATGTTAGGAGACTTGGTAGCGCTAGAAAGAGGAGGGTGATCAAAGACTTATTAATTAGAGAGAAGCCAGACATTGTGTTATTACAGGAAGCAAAGTTGGCCGAAATGGATAGGTTGTGGGCTAGGAGTGTCTGGGACTCTGGAGAATTGATGTAGTGGAAGCTATAGGGGAATTAATTATTTATCAAAAAAAAGCTATAGAGGAATTAATTGGAAAATTTTCTGTTTCAGTGAAATTTAGAAATGTGGAGGATGGGTTTACCTGGGTTTTGACTAATGTGTATGGTACTAATTCTTATAGAGAGAGGAATAACTTGTGGGAAGAGTTATATGCAGTTAGGAGAATTTGGGAGGGGCCTTGGTGCTTGGGGGGACTTCAATGTGACTTGATACTCTAGTGAATCGAGTGATATTTGTTAGCGGACCTTCTTTGTTCAGGTTTGAAAAAATGTGGTTAACTCACCCCAATTTTGCAGAGAAGGTTAAGGAATGGTGGAGGGTGGAGATAGATGGGATCTTGTGGGAGTGAGGTTCCATAGGAAACTGAAAAACTTAAAAGCAGGCTTAAGGATTGGAACAAGGATCACTTTAGAAGGTTGGAAGAAAAGAAATTAAATCTCATCACTCAAATTGATATTTTAGATGAAAAAGAGGGACAAGGTGATATCAATGAGAGGAAATTAAAGAGAACAAAGATGGAAGTTAAAAAAGGATTTGGAAGAGGTTCTTCTTAGGAAAGAAATTTGTTGGAGGTAAAAGTCAAGGCATAAGTGAATAAAGGAATGGGATGGAGTAGAAATCACTGTTTGGAAATCTAGATGAATTCCTTGTGAAGAGAAAGAAGAAGAAGATGAAGAGTTTCAGCAGTAGAGAAGAAAAGAGAAGAAAGAAAGAGTATGATGTCAACCAGAATTGAATTAGGTCTGGCCACCAACCCCTCATTATATTTTATACTTAACTTAAAAGAATAAGAGATTACAAGAATGCCCTTAGTAGGGCGGCTACTAAAGTAGTTGAACAGTTACAACTTAAAAACATAAGCTAATGGGTTCCTAACTTAGCAACTTAAAAAATAAGAGCTAAATAACTGGGCCCAATAACTAGAAATCGGCCCAACTCAACAGATGGTAATACTAAATATTTTCATGCCATTGCCAATCAAAGAAGGAAAAACTATATAGCCAAATTGGAAGTGATATTGAATCAAACAAAGATAGATAGAGCCCTAGTAGAGCATTTCAAATCCATCTTCAAGAGGCCTTTGGGGACTAGGCTAAGGGTGGAAGGGCTGGAGTAGCCTAGGTTAGGGAGTGAGGAAGCTAGGTGGCTGGAGAGAAACTTAGAGGAAGAAGAAGTAAAGAGGGGCTATAAGAGATGGGAGTAGTTAAGGCAACCCATGTCCATCTGGAATAGGAGGGGATATAAGAGACATGGAAGGAAATTTAACAGCCACCTTTTTAGGACTAATGGGAAATGGAGTCTCTTTAAAGGCAAGACTATATGCAGCCCTACAAGGCACCCATATTGCAAAAGAGTTAGGTGTGGAGAATTTGGTGATGGAAGGGGACTTCAAGGTGGTGGTGGGTTGGCTAAAAGACCTAGTTTCAATGATTTGGTGTTACAAAAATGAATGGAGAAATTCAAGTGGGTAACACAACAGATGAATTTAACTATACAATGGGTGGGAAGGGAGGCTAATGCACTTGTTGATGCTCTAGCCAAGCAAGGGGTAACTAGGGATCAGATGTACTGGGCCATTTGTAATTTTGTTTTATTTCTTTGTTAAAGAGTGAGGCTGCACCTCACGCCTCCCACTAGGATGCTTGTAACAGACTTTTATCCTTTGCTTCTAATGAAATTTAATGAAGGATGACTTATGTGAGATGTTCAATGAGTTTGTTGATCAACACTTTGTAAATTCAGGGGTTAATGCTACTTTCCTAGCCTTACTTCCCAAGTAGCCGTATGTATTGCGCCCCAAGGACTTTAGGCCAATAAGCTTGGTAAATGGTAACAAGTATTTATAAAATTTTGGCCATGGTCCTGTCATTGAGATTGAAAGAAGTACCCCTGAAGATTATAAGCCAGTTTCAAGGAGCCTTTATATAAGGGAGGCAAATCTCTGATCAAATCCTTATAGCCAATGAATGTGTGGGTGCGATGAATAGAATCGAGAATAAAGGCTTCTTTTGTAAACTGGATATTGAGAAGGCCTACGAGTCTATGACTCAGTGGACTGGTTTTTTTGGAAGAAATAATGAAAGAGTGTGGATTTGGGGATAGATGGTGTAAGTGAAGGCTTCTTTTGTAAACTGGATATTGAGAAGGCCTATGAGTCTATGACTCAGTGGACTGGTTCTTTTTGGAAGAAATAATGAAAGAGTGTGGATTTGGGGATAGATGTAAGTGGATGATGGGGTGCGCCCAAACTTGCCACTACTTAGTTTTGGTCAATAGAGTTGTGAGGAATTTCTTTCTTGTTTGTCAAGGGTTAAGACAAGGTGACCCCCTTTCACCTTTTTTATTTACTTTGATAGCTGATGCCTTTAGTAGACTCATCTCTAGGGTCGACAGTGAAGGTGTGATTAGTGGACTAAGGGTGGGTAGAGATAGGGTACTAGTGACCCATTTACAGTTTGTAGATGACATTATCATTCTGTGTGAAGGGGAAGATCTAGGGAAGGTAAGGAATCTGAAGTTGGTCATCAAGTTGTTTGGGCGGATCTCTAATTCAAAGCTCAACTTGGACAAAAGTTGTGTGGTAGGGATAAATTTAGGAGAAGAGGTGGTGGTTGTAGCTGATATTATTGGGTATATTGTAAATGATTGGCCTTTGAATTATTTGGGACTCCTAGGTGCAAACCTGAAGGGTACAAATTTCTGGAACTTAATTGTACAAATGATTGCTGGGAGATTGGCTGTTTGGAAGAGGAATTATATATCTTTGGGAGGTAGAATTACTTTGAATTAAATCCACACTTGCCAACCTTCCAATTTACTTTCTCTTTGTGTTTAGGATCCCCCAAAAGGTGGTGCACATGTTAGAAAAGATGATGAGGGTTTTTTTATGGGAGCCAAGAGAAAGTAGAAAGAATCACTTGATAAAAATGGGAGGTCATGTCTAAAAGCAAGGAGGGTGCTCTGGCAATAGGGAATTTAGCAAAGAAGAACATAGCTCTGTTGGGAAAATGGTTGTGGAGGTGGCCACTTGAAAGGGAAAGACTGTGGAGTAGAGTGGTGGCTAGCATTCATGGGGTCAGGTAATGGTTGGGATGCTAGTATCATTGCAAGGGCAATGCTGGCTTTGCCGTGGAGAGCTATTGGTAGCCTACTTCCTTTGATCTTAACCCATGTCAGGTATGATGTTTGCTCTGGGAACTTTGTTTTATTCTGGGAAGATGTTTGGACTTTGGATTGGTAATTTTGCTTGGAAAGATCTTTTCCCATTGTTATACTCTGTTTCTTTGTTTAAAAAGGAACCTATCTCTAGGTTCTTTCCTCAATCTATGCTTATTGCGTCACATAATTGGGACTTCAGTTTTAGAAGGGGTTTGAGAGACAGTGAGGGTGGGGAGATGGTTCAGTTGTTAGAGGTTCTGGGGAAACATTTTGACTTCTCTGTGTTTGATAAACGTGTTTGGGCACCATCCCCCTTAAGATTTCCTGGGAAGTTTTTCATGGGAAAATCAATACTTTTGATAACCTGCAAAAAAGGAAATCTTATCTTTGCTTGTCCCCTAATTGGTGGTGCATCTTTTGCAAATCTAAGGGAGAGGATTTTTTTCCATCTCTTAGTTTCTTGTCCCTTTGTTGTAGAAATTTGGGATTGTTTCTTCTCTCTTTGGAAGCAGGTGGACTATACTGATGGAGTGAGAGGTTTATTCAAGCTGAACACTTTTTAGTGGCCCAAGAAGTGGGGAAGAATCCTTTAGAGATGCACAAGGGCAGCAGTTCTATGGTCTGTTTGGGAAGAAAGGAATGCAAGGATTTTTCTTGAGAAGGAAAGGAGTGTAGAAGCTGTAAAAGAGTGCATTTTGGCAAAGGTGATACACTGGGTGAAAACCTTGGATTTGTTCTCTCAATTTTCCTTTGATAACCTATGGAGGAATTGGGGTAAAGTGGCTGCTAACTTCTCTAGGAGGATGACTGTCATTACTTGGACTTGTCCTGTGAAGGAGTTCTTAAAGCTTAATTTTGATGGAAGCATCATTGGAAATCCTGGCCCTTCTGGGATTGGAGGGGTATTTAGGAACAAAGATGGACAGCCAGGACATGTTGTAGCTTTCTTTTCTGGACCAGCAGGTGTGGGAAATTCAATAAGGCGGAGCTGTTAGAAGTTGTCCAAGGATTACAGATAGCAAAGGAGTTAAATTTGAACAGATTAATTGTGGAAGGAGACCCCAAGGCTTTAGTGGGCTGGCTACAAAATCCGGAGGCTGTTACTTGGGAATTTAGGGATGAGCTTAAGAAGATTAAATGGCTCATTTCCAACCTCTCAGTGGTGTTTCAATGGCAGGAGATTGGCCAATAGAATGGCTGATTTTCTAGTCATGCAGGGGGTTAATAGGGATCGTTTATTCTGGGCTCACTTGTAATTTATTTTTCTGTTTCTTTTTTGTTGATTGGATGAGGTGAATCTCATACCTCTCCCTGGGTTGTTTGTATTGACAATCTTCTGATTTTAATAAAATCATTTACCTATAAAAAATGATTGCTTGATACTTAGTGTACATCAGATCAAATAAATGGTTCATGTGTCTCTTATTTGCTATTTTATGATAAGATTTTGAAATACATCAATTATGGCATTATAGGTGATATTTCTTTTGAACCTCATTGATTGAGACAAATGTTGTAAACTACTTATGCCCTGGGAAAATGATGATCAATGAGAAATTGAATGTCTTGTTGGACTGTCTTCTGTGGTTATTGGTGGATGGCTAGGAGAAGTTTTTTGCATTGCCTTATAAACTAGTTTCAATGCATGTTGTTGGCATAGAGGTATTTTCCTATCGCACCTAGTGACCTAGATTCTGTAATGCTAATTAATTGGTAAAAAATCCTATAAATGCTGAAGTCATACTGGCATTGGCGGGATATTAGAATTGTTTGACAGATGTATATTCAAGCAAGATGGGTTAGAATGCAAGGGTGGGAAATTCACAGTGAAGTTAGAAAAAAAAAGTACTCCATGTTGATCAATCAGGTGGAGGCTGATTCAATTCGGGGGGTGTGGGGGAAACCAGTGCCCCCAAGTGTGGAAGCCTTTGCCTGGCTGATAGCCATAGGTTGCATATTAACACAGGACATTTTAAAAAATAGAGGATTTCAATTTCCAAGCAGATGTGCACCATGTCTGGCCGGAGAGGAAAATATTATTCATCTGTTATTCCAAGGCAGCTTTATAATCCCAATTTGGTACTACTTTTTCAAGCTGTTTAAAGTGGATATGTGGTCAATTTCGGATCAGTCTGAAATTTTTGGGTGCTGACCAAGAATACAGGGTGGTCCTAAGATAAAAAATCTGTGGAGTTGCATTCCTTTTGCTGTGTTCTGGGAAGCATGGAAGGAAAGAAACAGAAGGATTTTTGAGAATAAGAAGAAAAGGATGGAAGAGGTGGTGGCACGAATTAGTTCTTCAGCGATTGGATGAGTGTTGATACTGCCAGAATTTCAAGGTCTAAAGAAAGAAGACTTCGGGGCAGATTTTTGGTGTACTTTGAATTCTTAAGAAGTCTTGGTGTATTTATGTTTGTTGCTTTGAAGTCTGTTTTGTTTTGTTTTCCCTTGTATTTTTGCAATTTTTTGATGGGGGTGATCTCTTGTCACCTATTTAAGTTGTAATTGTTTCTATTTTTAGCAATATTTTTTTTCTTTATTTATCTTAAAAAAGCAAGATGTGTTAGGTGGTCTGCGAGTGCTTTGGCAGATGGACTAGCTAAGCAAAGAGTACATAGACATCATTTGTACTGGGGGCCTGATTTTAATAGGGTGGTGGGGTTTTATTATTGTAATGGGTTTTAGTTCTAACAACCTCTTGTTGTAATATCTTCCCTTTTAATTTTAATAAAAATTCTGTGTTGCTGATAAAAAAATAGTAGAATTGTTTGACATTTGATTTTGTTCAGTTTTCCTGGATGTTTTCTTTACTCGATCTAGTAAGTAATGATAAACTGTTTTGTTTCAGGTTATATGTATCCACCATTCTGACATCTCTTGTCAATGCTGTAAGCTCATTCCACATGCCCATACATGGCATTGATGGCCTCGATGGCCTCAGTTGTGCCATCATGTAGCTTGGTATTATGATATCCTTTTAATTCTTATTTTTGTTTAAAATTTTATAGCATGGTTTGATGAAATCATTCTCATAATTAAAAAAAAATGATTGTTCTTTGATAGGTAACTGTAAAAGTCTCATTGAAGTATGGAAAATAAAAGTGATCTAAAAGATGTGTACAAAAAACAACCTCTCATCTGCAAATTTTCTGTTCAGTTGCTCAAAATATTTGGGAGTTCTTGTTTACTCTATTTGGATGCAGGTGGATCTCTCCAGGGAACATGGAAGGTTTGTTTGGCTTTTCCTTATCTCTACACTGAAAAAGAGGCAAAATATTATGAGATGCATGAGAGCTACTGTATTCTGGTGCATTTGAGAAGAGAGGAGCACTATATTTTTCAAAGAAAGGACTCAACACAAGGAAGCTATAATTGGAAGGATAATTGTCAAAATAGTGCGCTAGGGAAAACTGTATATGTTTTTGATCCTTGTGTGATGGATATGGTTTTAAATAGAACATATTGGTGAAACAGGATTCATGTAGCCGATCCCATATAGTTGGGATAAGGCATGTATGATGATGATGATGTGATGGATGATATTATAAGGAATTGGAGGAATGTGGCTGACTCTTCTATATCAAGGAATTATATCTCTCATACTTTGGCACCCTCCTAATCTCCTCCAGCTTAACTTTGACAGATGCAGCACGGGGACCAAGTTATTCAGGCATTGTTGGATTATTCAGAAAACGTAGAGAGAAAGTTGCTTTGTTTTCTAGACCAGTGGTATTGGAGAAGAGAACTGGTTCTTGCCCATATGGATATCTTATGGTAGAAATTAGACACTTAACTAAGGAACTAAATGCAAGCTTTTTCTGGATTCTAAATTCTGCCAATAACATGGCTGATGGGCTTGCAGAACAAGGAGCAACTAGAACTCAGCTTAGGCACACCAGCGTATCATTATCATTCTTTTCTTTAATCAATGGTTATTTTAGTTACTGATAGATAAAGAAAACTTGTACATAAAAACATTCACACACAAGACCTGAAAGAAGAGCACTTGAACCCCCCTCTAGCTCAAAGTTGTAAAGGCATGATAGACCTACAACCCAAACAGAACCAGCAATGAAATGAAAACTGCTTAAGAAGCCACCACGGGTTGACTTCTGTATTTCAGTTTTAATTGTTTCTGATAAAATAAAAAAGAAAAAAAGCCACCAAGGGTCCCTGGACACTGAACCAAAAACTCCAATGTGCACCGCCGCTGACATGCACAAAAGCTGGCACCTTGATACCAGGATCACCCTTAGACTCAGGTTGTTCACCCTCTATCTTGGCCCTTCCCTCTTCTTCTTGTCAAAGATATTCCTCTGCCTCTTCTGCAGCTTGCTTTTCCTTGGGTAATCATGTCTTTAATTGCAACCCCACAACCTCAGACTCTGCAAGTTTTCATTCAATTGCAACACAACACCAATATAAGCTCCCATATAATACTGTTTCAAAAGCACAAGATATTCCTTTCTATTTCTAGAATTTGACTCCAACAGACCTTCTAACGTCCTGACTAGATACCCCTTCCAAACCAAGCTGATCTCTTTCATCTAATCTCCTGAAAAATTTCCTTGCCTGATTGTCTAATCACTAAGAAAAAAATTTTTTTTTTCTTAGACATGATTTGACAGGCTCCTGATGGAGTTAAAATGGCTTATCAGTTATCACCATTCTCCAAATGCCTACAACATCCAAATATCATTCCTTCTTGGAGCCTGATGAGGATATCTTACTCTCATTATCTAAGCCCCCTCTAAACCAGTCTTGTCACCTGGGATGTCCCTCTGTTGAGACCTGTTGAGATGTTTGCTATAAAAGAAGAGATAAACAAGGGCCCAAAATTTCAACTTTGACATTCAACTTACCTTCTTTTAAGTTGAGAGATTTTACATTTAATTGGAACTGTATTTTGGGTGTCAAGGATGGTAAAGAGTAAATTGTTGGATTTCGTAGTCATTTTTGTACATCGTTATAATTAATAATATCTTTGATTTCAGAGAAAAAAAAATTCCAACTTACCTGTAGAGACAGAAGCACTGATGCCCTGATGTTCTGTTGCAGCCAATAAGCCATCACTGCCAGGGGACAGAATTCTTAGGTCTCTATCTCTCTTATAGCATGATCCCTTCTTGTCTCTTGTTCAGCTGTTTCAAAACCCCTATCTGAAGCATCACTAAATAACTAGTATCACCATCTCTTTATTTTCCTTCTACCTTAATAGGTAAAATGAAAGCTATATCAAAGAAAAAGGTCATTACTCAATGTTGGGGTGGGTGGACTAGATAGTGACCTAACCTTTGGCTTTTGGTCGCTCTCAGACTCCAACCCGTGTTCTCACACTTAGAGCCCAAGATTTTACCATTATACTAGGCAATTTCCCCTTAAAGCAGACATGTTCAGAGAGTATTTGGGGCCCAAAATGAAAGGATATACATTAGATACAAAGTGTACAGTATTTAATCAATATGTCAAAACATATTCCCTTTTCGTTTTAATGAATTTTTCTTACTATAAAAAATCAATTTCCCAAAATGGAACAATATCAGCAGGTGGGACTAAGGATAGCTGAGCAACTTGGGTTTCAACAGGTGGAGGTGGAAGGGGATTGACTGGTTGACATTGATGATCTCTTGGCTGTTCTTGGATTCAGGTCAAGGGAGAATTTCAAGTGCCATTGGTGATGGTAGTGAGGGTCCTTGGTGGCTCTTCATTACAAGGTAGGTTTGATCCTTGGTGGCTAGGTTGAGTGCCTCTTCCCTCTGTATCCCAATTCACACAACACTTTGGCCAATCCTTGGACAAGGGTTCATAGAAGAAACTTCAATGGGGTTTAATCCCTCCCTCTAGGAGGAGTGATGTATCGGTGTCTTGTGGTTGTACAGGTTTGTAGTTTTGACTAGGCTTTGGAAATCCATGTTTGCTGCTGTTCAGGGTTTAAAATGTCAATGTCGGTGGAAATATCAGTCATGCAAATATAGGAAAAATGTCAGGATGTTGGAAACATTGTGAAATTTGTGAAAATACAGAATGATATTTTATGAAATGATAAAGGGTGCATAGATGCAACCTTTTAAATTTTTACCTTGATCCAAACCATCAAACAAAGCTAAGATGATAAGGTTAATAGACAAAATAATATGCTGCAGAGTTGTCTTGTAAACTACATTATAGAGTGAACTCAAGAAAAATTTAAACTCTAGAAAGTTCAAATGATTCTAATAGGTGGGCAATAATACTGCTGTTCCACTATTTAAAGGGAAGATCACATGGGGAAGTTACATTGAAAGGGGCTAAACCGGTGAGTGGCTGGGGTCCACTATTTAAAGAGAAGAGATTTGAAAAGAATTAAGCTGAACCCCTTGGTCCTCCAATGGTTCAAAAGAGTCATTCGTTGGGGTTTAGAAACTCATGTGACCATACTAGTAATCATCTGTTGCTTGGGTCTTTGATAAATTTGAGCGGTAGGGTTTACTCAAATACATTTGCCATCTTTCCTGTGGCCTCCTCCCCCATGTTTACAAGGTAGGACCTATGGGGGCTCAATGCATGTGGGATTAGATGATTCATCTCCAGAAACTGTGGGAGTGGCAAAGGAGCATGGAACACGACCACCATCGGCTACCTCTGAACTAGGCTCTCGATTGAAGACCTTGTCATGCCCAAAAGAAATGTCAAAGGAAGGCCAAGGTTGCAATGCCGAAGAGAATGATGGCAGGAAGGAGGTTCAGTTTAGGAGAAAGGTAGTTGGGGAGAAAAAGTTTCATGGGCTTATCAGACCAAAGTTTAAAAGGAGTGGAACAATAGGAAGGGGGATTTCGACCAAGGCTAGAGAAAGATGGGTCTGGGTGGTTGCTAGGTATTATAAAAATGGTAGGAAGAGGATTGTAGGTGGAACTCAAGGGGTTTGTGACGAACACACTCCTCTCGTGAATGGCGATGTTGGTCGTTAACTTTGAGAAAGAAATTCTTAAATTTTCAGATGGGATTGAGGAGGGCAATGGAGTGGTGGAAAGAGCTGAAGTGGAAGAAAACTGTGATAAGGAAGGAAATTTATCAAAGAGAAAGGTGTTTTCATGTTGAGTTAATAGCAGGGAGATGTTGCAAGTAATGGGGAAGGTAATGAGTGACAAAAAAGCTAAAGGGACGGACAAAGAAGAAGGAATGTGGACTTCGATTTTGATTGGAAACCTGGGGATGAAGCTAGGCAGGAGAAGAGTCGTAACCGACCCGGGACAAACTAATTCAGAGAACCAAAAGGCAAAGGACGTGCGGAAAACGAGAGGTTAAATTAACGGACAACTTGTTCATGTAACCAAGGTTTTTCATTATCTCAAGGAAGGATTGGTCGGGAATTGTCCTTGTGGCAGATTTAAGAGAATTTACAAAAGGAAAGGACCTAAGGCAAACTCTAGATCTCATAATTGTCCGATCAAAAGCAGTGCTGCAAATGGTTTAGAAGCTGATGCAGGCAGTAAAACTCAAGGCACACAGCAGAGACCAGAAGAAGAAAAACAAGGAGAAGGAGAAGTTTCAAAGACCGGGGACAGGAATAGAGAGAGAGAAAGAGTAGAATAGATTCAAAAGGACCAACAAGTCAAGGAATTAGTACAAAATGGGAAGGTGAATATCAATAAATTTGTGGAGAGGGAGGTTGAGATAGGAAAGTCAAGGGGTGGGACAAGGAAGGGGGAGAAGAGGAGGGACTGGACGAGATTGAGTGATCTTGGGGTTGGTGGGAAGATAGGGAGAGGGGGAGGAAGATGAGGTTTCTTAGCTGGATTGTGAGGGGTATGGGAGAAGGAAGGAGGGAGGAGAATGGGTGGAGCATTGAATATTTGGAAGCAGGAATGAGCAATTTGATCAAGTCTCCAAAGCTGATTTGTTTGAAAATTTCTGGAATTTCCTTGATTTACAGCCTTGTAATGCAGAATCCTTTTCATTTTAAAGCTTTGAGAATGTATTTGGTGTGTCATCTAGACAACCAGGGGTGTTAGGATGTAGTCTTTTTCTTGATTCTTAAAAAAATACTGCTGCTCCTGCTCCACATATGCACAATATTGTCACCAACTTAAATATGATACCATCTCTTGTACTCCTCATGGCAGCAGTAGTTTTCACCAGGGAATATGTCGGTTCCTGTAATATTTCGTGTTGATACCCATGGAAATATTAGGAAATATATGGATATTTTACACCATGCAGGTGTTAGCTCCTCCATACTCTATTTTCTCTTGATAATTAAAGAACTTTATTGAAGCAGAAGAAAAGACAATGGCCCAATACAAAGGGGCCAAAGATAAGCCTTAAACAACAGAACAGCCAACCCTCCCAAGTCCTAATGATAGAATCCCACTGATTACAAAAATTTGAAAACTGAATTCCCTTGAACTCCTTAAGGTACAGAACTCACAATGACATTGTTCTTTAAATAACACCAATCAGATGCTGCAGCTTGCATCTTTTTCCTTCAAAATTCATTTGTTCCTCTCTTTCTAGTTACACCAGCAGATGGTGAAAGGAGAAATGTTCCACAAGATACTCCCTTTTGCTGCCAATCAATTATCAAATAAGGATACTCCCCTTTTGCTAAATCCATTGATTGACCATGAGTCGACTAAACATGACCTCATGGCTAAATAATTTGATGAAATACCATCAAATAGAGGAAGAAAAACTACAATGATTAAGAAGATGCTGAACTGATTCCAGGGTGGAGTTGCAGGGCATGCAACCATTTTCCAAAGATTTTCTCCTTGGTATCAGGTTGTCGATGGTCAAGCTTTGGTATGCCATCAACTTGAAGAAACAGATTTTGGTTGGAATATGAGGAGACCAGATCTACCTCCAAGGGCGAAGCTTCACCCTACCATACTCAAAACCAGAGAAGAAAGATTTAACCAAGAAAGAACCTCTCAAACTCAATTTCAAATTCTTTTTTCTAAACTCCCCTACCACAATGCCCACCATGCTTCTGTTACTTTACCTAAAACATTCCACTGTGATGGTTATGTCTGAAGTAAACAAAAAATAGAAAATAAATCTTTACTCATGCCTATTTGTTGCATTTCAAAGTGATGCATAGTTAATTAAAGGAAAATAGTACATAAACTTTTTAGTTGAATGCATATGAAGGACCCATTTTTCTCTTCACAAAAACTTGTTATTGAATTTGAACCACAAAGACCACAACAGTTTTCAAGCAGTTTTTTTTTGGCTATTTACATGTTCAGGTCCCTGTTGTGGTTTTTTGTGCATGGCGCAATTGGTTTATGATTTTTAAAATCAAACCTTTTAGCATGCCACATTTACCTTTATGATTTTAAGTATACCTTTTAGCATGCCAGATTTAATGGTTAGTGGTACTTTTAGCATGGTCCCTGGGCAAGTATTAAATGAATAAATTGTAAAATGGCAAAAAAAATCTCATCAGGTAGATGTGATTTGAGTTGGCACAGGCAATCTGTGTGTGTGTGTGTTTGTGCACGAGCGTGCTCTTACACACACATACACACATACACATAGGACACAAACACAATGAATAATAACTTGAGGTTATTGACCACAGTTTGGACATGCTCCCACTTATCCATTTTGTTTCATTTTAATGATGCATGTTATGACTGTAACTAAGGAAGAGCCTGCTTACCATGTGTTTTATTTTGCTACTTTTACTTGTTTGATGAGATTGAGTTTAGCTGTATACATTTTTTAGTATCCTCAAATTGTTAGGATTAAGAGAAAGCTGAGTTGAGTTGAGGCCTTGTTTACCATCTCCTTTTTTTTTCCTGACATGCCTTTTCTGCCAACAAAGGTGTATTGTCAATGTTTCAATGAGAAGCACTTGAGAGGTGCAATATCTTTTGAAGCTCAGCAAGGATATCGAAATGCTTTTGGAAGAAAGATGAGGTGGATGGCTTGATTCTTGTTCTAGTACTGTTGATCTTTATGATGAAATTGGAAGTCGATGTGCTGGACCTTTTTAATCAATATCATTTCTTACAGGTTTAGCAATTTTCTCTACTCCAAGCTTTCTAAATTATGCTCTCGATCAAATCACAAGTTTGCTCAAAAGCTATTGGAGGAAGTGAACAGTTATGGCACAGCAAGCATCTCAGACCGATCAAAATTGCTCCATAAGGTGGATTTTTTTCTTCTTTTGGGTTCTACATTTAGTTTAGTTAATCTTTGATCAAAATTGCTGCATATTTGTTCAGCAGAGAGCATATTTAAGGGCCATCTCCTGTCTTACTTATCTTGCTTTAGGTTGCTTAGAGTTCACTGTCTGCACATTGTTTAGCTAGTTCAGTTTATGCTTTCTAGTTTAACATGTGAAGGTTATCATTAGAGAATTTTTGCGAATTAATTACCCCTAGAATTTTATGATTCCAGACACCTTTTGATTGTTCTCTTATAAACTGGATCAGAGCAGATGGTTGAAATGTTTGACCTGGAACTGTTAGTCTCTGGTTCCTAGAATTGGACTGCCTGTCTTCCCCATAAAAAAGGCCAATGGAAAGGACAAAAGTTGCCTGAACCAATCCTATCACAATTGTATGCTATAGCTGGACTGTCTACTTAATCATGTAAAGACATTGTTAAAAAAGTACTTTGACCCCTTCTTTGCAATTGGTTCACATTGGAAACTGAGGCCCTTGCCTCTCTTATCTAGTATGACAATCTTAAGGGGTCACTGGTACTATTCCCTCTCTCTCTGATCCATCCTCTCTCATCAGCTCAATGAAACCAGGGTTGTCCAATCACAGCTAGACTGTGTATTCAGGTGAATTCCAAGAATTTTGAACTCAGTAGCAGATGTTCTAGCTAAATCTGGGGTGGGTAGGGACTTTTTGTACAGCAATATAGAGCTTCCTCTTTAATGGGTAGGGAAGTTTTTTTTTTTTTTTTTGGTTTTTGTTTATTTTGAGCGATTCTGGAAAGATGTATCTCTTATACATCCTGTATACCCTTCCCCTTTTTAGTAAATGAAACTTGACCCTTTCTCAAAAAAAAAAAAAGGGAATGAATGCAGCAAAAAGGAAAAGTGTAAAATAATGTGGCTTCCAATGTGCAGAATGCCTACATGCTTACTCTGTAAGTGTTTTCTGATTTTAGCTGATATAAAGAATCTAGTCATTTTCAACTGCAGTGTTTCTTTGTTAATTCTGGATGGGCATTTAGAGTATATACTAATTTAAATGAATGTCATGACTATATTTGTGTCATGCTTTTTTTTTTTTTTTTTGCTTTCTACATGTAGACATCTAACATTTCTCTTGATTTTGAGTAAATACACATGACCGCATTTCACTTGCCCTTTAGGTTTCTATTTTGATGGGTTACAACAATGTGGAAGACCTAATTGAGAATGAAAGAGATAGAAGAGAATCTGATGAATATCTGAAAGATGCAATGGATGAGATTGATGTTTCATTATCCTACAAAAGATTCCCATCTATCATTTTGGGTAGTTCTCCACTAGTTGAACTGTATAAAGAAACTGAATTTCAAATGGAAAGAATGGAGCTTCTACCAGATCAGAGCTATGATGGTTCTCTCTCAAGTTCTATGGGTATGAAGTTGGTTGAGCCAGATGGACCAAGTGAAACAGGAGCCTCTTTGGACTGCCCAGTTTCAAAAGTGAACTCATCATCCTCATCAGATGAAGAAAACTCTGTAGTGTTGCCTTCATTTCCTCAGCCCATGGCTTTAGATACTAACATGAAGTCAGATGCAAAAACTATCATAAAGGAGTCTTCAACGAATGTGAGACCTGAATCAGAACAAGATGTAGCATCTCTTGAACATATTCTTGACAAACCCATCAGCCAGATACTTGGATTACGCAAGAAGTATTGTCAGCAGCTTGAAAAGTGCGGTTTTCATACGGTGGGTTATTATTTAAATATCACGTACAGAGGTTTCATATGATGTCTTAATGACCACAAGAAGGTTTATGCCATAATTTTTCTTTTGATTCCTTTCAGATTCGGAAGTTGCTACATCATTTTCCTCGAACATATGCTGATACACGGAATGCTCAAGGGGAAATTAATGATGGGGACTATTTGATCTTTATTGGGAAAGTCTTATCTTCAAGGTAAATTATATTTTTTGTTTCATTTATTTTTCCCTTCACTGGAAATATCTGATATTGGGGCCATTGCTTGGTGCAATGGTAAAATTTTGGGCTGAAAAGCATGAAATATGGGTTTGAATCTGATAACAGCCACTGGATACAGACCTAACCTTTTGCCTTTTTGCACAAAGTGGCTGCTATCAGACTCAAACCCACATGTCATTCTTTTCAGCCTAAAATTTTACAGCTGTTCTTATCTCATGCCTTTTTGCACAAATGCCCTTTTTACCGGAAATGACTGATATGTTTTTTTAATGGATTCATATCTTTTCACATGTGAAGTTTAAACTAGTGCCTTAATTATTTCCCTTGTATTTACTTAAATCATTTTGAATTTGTTGCCAGAGTATAGTTGACAACAATGTGAACAAAGCAGTGAGCCTGTAAACACTCCTCCAGTACCCTATAGTCATTCTTTTGACCAGATGCTGCAATGTTCATATGCATACCTTATGATCTGAAGATTTCACGAAAAGAATCGTTCTACAGCTATGTAGAGCTGCTCAAGCCATTCTTACTTTTATTTAGTTCACTCCAAATTCTTGGTCTTATGGCTAGGATAAAAATATGAAGAAAAGAATATCTAGATGTGTGATCTGTATAGAGAGATCTGATTGTAGTCTCCTAAAAATGGAAATATATAAGGAAGAACCAAGGAAAAATTAAACTTTTCTAAATTCTCAAATTATCCTTAATTTGTGGGACCATTTTGCTCTTTCTCTTACATATTTGTATAAACCCTTTACTTATCTTTCTTTCTTCTTTTTTTCTCACCCAAAATGGGTGAGAAAGAGATAATGTGCCTTGCCCTTTCCATTTTCATCATTTTGAAATGTTGCCCTCTCGCCTATATGAATCTTAAAAGGGCATTTTAGTAAGTTAACTTCTGCAGTCCAGTAATCCAGTTAACAAGAGGGGAAAATTGTCGGAATCTGAAAATTCAAAGGGGGTCTTTGTTGCAAATGAAAGTTTGAGGGCTAAGTGTTAGTACCCCCAAAGTACAGGGTGGGAATCTGTAATTTACCCTTTTTTGTTGTGATCTTAACCTTGAAACTACCATTGATAGGAACTAGATACCATGACCGCCATTAGTGATGTTGGGAAGGCCAAATACTTATCCAAAGGTGCCAAGATTACATTGCCGAGCACGAAGAGCGTGAGGGATTTTGGAGCTAACATGGCCGCCATTGGCGATGATGGGAGTTAGATATCTTCTCTTAACTTTGTGCACAGAATAAAGGATCAGGAAAGGAAGAATCCACTTCTGATCATTACCTCAGGATGTTGATGGGAGAAGCTAAAGTGAATAAGGTGGTAGTGGATAATAGAAAGGCGGGTAAGATGGAGGAGAGAATGAAAATCTTACAAGCAAGTCTGGTAGGAAGAGTGGTTGGAAATGTTGTGGAGATGGGGAAGATTGAAACATGGGTGAAGTTAGAGTGGGGAAGAGAGAAGGTGTTGGGTGTGAGGAAGTTGAATGTGGAACTCTTGCTGTTTATGTTTCACAACAGACAATTTGCAGAATGGGTGCTGGAAACAGAGAAAACAAAGGAGAGGGAGTTTGATTTGAGACTAGATTGGTGTTTCTCGATGGTTGGAGAGTTTGTTATTGGCAGGATGAAGTATTCGATGTGGATTGGAATAGTTGGAATCCACTACATGCTTGGAGCATTCTGACGTTTGACAAAATTACTTGTTCCTACGGCATATTTATGAAGCATGATGACAGAAATAGAACCTGGGAGAAGTTGGACAAGGCGAGGATCCTAGTCGAGGTCAAGGACATAGCTGATATTCCGAATAGATTGGTTTGGAATTTGCAGAGAACCTTACGATTTGAGAATAATAATTGAAGGGGCTGATGGATACTTCGGTGGACAAAAGAATAGTTGGAGAAGAGGGGGTGAAAGGAGGAGAAGGGGTGGTGGTAGATGGAGAGTTGTCGGGCTGCAGAACAGGGGAGAAGGCAGAGAAGGAATGGGAGTCAAAAAGTTGCTTGGATGAAATAGGAGACGATGAGTTGGTATCACTTGTCAGTAGGGGGTATAGGTGAATAGAGATGGATTGAATGGCACGAGTGAGGAAAGACAGGTGGCGGGTAGGGAGAGTGAGTTGAAGGGAGATCAAGAGTTAGGAGAGGGGATGGATAAGGGAGGAGTTGGAGAACAAGCGGTATCGGTTGATTTCAGAAGAAGGAATAAGAGGAAAAGGAGTAAGGGGGCGAAGGGCAATTTGGGGGAAAGATATCCCTTTTCAAAGATGGAGAGGTTTAACTCTCTGAAAGCCAGCCAAGTGAGTAACAACGGTCTCAAAATGGAAGACGAATGGATCTGAGTGATAACTAAGTACAAGAATTGAAGGAAGTGCGGGAAGGGAAGAGGATGAAGGTGTTCCCTTCAGATTCAGATATACAAGAGAAGGCATAAACTGTGAATTGTTGGTGGAAAGTGCGACTATGGCACCAGATTGAATTCAAATCAAACTTTTTAATCTTAAGTGGTTTCCATTTTCTGGGAGTTCCAGAGGATGTAGGTCAATAGATAAACAATAGTGCGGAGAAGAAAAGAGAATTGAGGGGGATTTTGCTCTCACAGGTAAAGGCACAACCACAATGAATGGAGAGTTTGGAAATCTTGAAGTATTAGTGGATTTGAGTCATTTGGGTTCCATTGGTAAACCATATGGTGAGGTAAGTGCGGAAACTTTGTCTTCTCTTTCCTCTGCATCTTCTCCAGTGGTTGGAGACCAATAGACCAATAACATATGCAAGGAAGGGAATAGTGTTTTAGGGGGAATTCGAAGGGGTTGCTCAAGGATTGGTGAATAGGAAAGAAGAAGGAATGTTAGGATCCAATGTTTTTAAAATCGTACAATTCATATCCAATTGGCCCCAAAACGATTCAAATCGCATGTACTAATCGTTTTTAAATTAATTGTGCAATTTATGTTCAAATCATTTAATCAAATTGTAAATCGCAATTTAGAACCGATTTAAATGATTAGAATTGGAAATATAATTTAAGACAAAAGACCATTTAGTCATCCACTTTTTAAAAGCTACACAGTTACATCAAGGGGCACTATTGTCATTTTGTTTTTTATAACTTAAATAGCCTCTGTAATCAATCGAAGGAGGCTTACTATCGAAGGAAATTCTTGGGTGAGAGATTGGAAGAGACAAAACCCTCATCCATTGCATCTCCATCATTCCTTTCCTTGTTTGCAAGAAAGGTAAGGGTTTTTCTTTTCTTTTTTTTTTCTGGTTTGTGTTATTTTTTTTTCTGATTTCTCTTCTTTTTTGATGCAAAATAGGGGTTCTGCTCCATTTCTTCTTTTGACACAAAACAAGGCTCTGCACCATTTCTTCTTTTTTAAAACTGGGGCTCCATCCCATCTCTTTCATTCTCTTGCCATGTTGCATTTTCCTTTTTCTGTATCATTTTTTGTCCTTTTTTCTTTTGCATGAAAATATAGGTTTGGCCATATTTTATTTTTTTGCTTTTGTCATGCAAAAAAGTAGGGGCTTCAACCTCTTATATTTTTCTCTTTTTCTTATGCAAATTATGTTTTCATTATTTCATAAGACTTTTCATTTTATCTATGTCTCCTATTTTAATTTTTAAGTTGGTTGTTCTTCTTGTTAGGTTGGAGCCCAAATTATTTCAAAAAAGCAGGGGCTTCAACCATTTTGTTTATAAATGGTTGGAGCCCATGATAGAATAGGGCATCTTTGCATCTGAACATTGAGGAACTCTTATATTCCTTGTTGATCAGCGATGGTTTCTTTGTTAGCTTCAGTTTTTAAGTCTTTATTTATGTTGGTTTAGTGAATATGGTTAGGCTTATAATTTGGCTAGATTTGTAATTTATTATACTTGTCCACATAACATCTCTTTGGTTGTTTTGCTACTAATGTCAATGAAATGTGCTTATGAGTTATGTCCAATTGTGCAATGGTATTAGTTACCAAAAAAATTATTAAGTTTCAGAGTTTAATTTCTTTAATTGCATTGTTTCACTATTGGAATGGTTATAAATCAGATTAGACATGGCTGAACCAGGTTTAGTGGCTGGCTGAATTTTTAAAATTTTTCTAAACCCACTTGGGAACCGATTTCCCGGTGATTTTGACATCTGAAATTTCAGGATCAATCTTGCACTGAACTGGACCAGATTTGAAACCAAATTAAAAACTGATTATACCTGATGCGGAGACCACAATATGCAACTCCCAGAGTGGTAGTTCACACCCAATATTAGTCCCAAAATTAGCCTCCAACTGAAGATGACGTAGTGTGTACGTGAAGTTTATTCAGAAACACTGTTTTAGCAAAACCGGTCTCCAATTTGCTTGGATTGAAGTGGGTATGTGAACCTAATAACCTGATTAAGCTCCAGTGTTTTTCTTGCAGAAACATAGTAGAGGACTGATGGAAATCAGCCCCTATCACAATTGGGTCGTATTAGGGTTTCTAGGAGGCAAGGGAGAAGAGAAGAGAGCAAGAGAGTGGAGAGAATTGGTGAATTTATCCCTCCCCTCTTAGTCCCTTGTATAGAGCACTCTCCTAACCTAATTAGGAGCTGATCCAAATCAAATTTGGATTAGGACTTTATGTTTAATTGATAAGAACTCTCTTCTTAAGAGAATGAGTGCTCCATATCACAGTGTCATAGTCTCTGCTTGGATGGATCCTAGGATTAAAACCTTTTTCATAAAATAGTAATATAACATATAAATATATTTTGCAAATCAAATTTCAAATATAGTTAAAATCCATTGCTGACAGTTTAGGTTTCCATCAGAGAGTGTAAGCTCTGATATTCACTTTGTCTGACAAAGGGTTTGATCCTATCACTATGATCATCCACTCAGGTAATTTCCCAAATTGCCCCAACATGCCCAGATATTTGATTCTTGATGGACCTCACTGGTTGGTACATCAAAGACAGTTTAGTCCAAAACCTAGTGCAATATCATAATCAAGTCTGGGGTTAAGTGCAACTTTCAATTTTGTTCATCCATCTCCAAGGTCTAGGGCATAATTGGAAGTTGGTTCGGGTTCAGTGTTTCTTCTAAAAACCCATTGGCTATGCTTGGGGTCTACCAATCCTAGCAGTCGAGAGAAGCTACTCCACCAATTCGGTGGCAAACCAATGTCAACCTTGTCAGGATAAACTCCCAAAGTCTATCCAATGGCTGAGAACATTCTAAACTAATACGAGCTTTAATGCCTTATAAGTGTCCAGTTTAAGATGTAATTCACAGAAACACACCAATTTAAACATAAAACAATAATGTACTTTATTCATTTACTGATAAATGTTTGTGTGCAACTATTTGATTGGAGCTAAGGGCATACATTGTCTAGCATTTATATGATCATATCAAATAGCAATACAATTAAGGATATAGTTTTTTATTGCTTAAATTTGAAGTTGAACTTGATCATACCCGCATTTATTGAATTATGACTTATGAAAGAGGTGTAATTGTCAAACTCATTACCAGTCTACTACTATGGTACTACTACCTATTTATGTTATGCCTATAGGCTAGAAATTAGTACAAAGGCATTCTTTTTCCTAAATTTTGAGGGCTTTAGGTATTTTATATTTTTTTGACAATTTTTAGAAATTCAGAAAAAATCTTACGATCTATGATATGATTCACGATACGATTCGATTCAAACCTCTTTACGATTTACAATATGATTACAATTTTTAGAACATTGTTGGGATCGTCCGCGGGAGTGAAGACGCTGGAAATCATCGCTCAACTGAATAACGAGGTAGGTTTTAGTGACTCGATTCTTCTTTTCCATTTGCTTCATCTTCTCTACGATGAGGGTGTTTTGAGAAGGAAGGAATGCTCAAGGGAGTTGGGTTTGGAGTAGCAGTTGAAGGGAGCAACAATTGGAAAAGAAAAACGATTGGGGAGGACCCGCACAAGGTCTATAACAGGAAGAAAAAAGCGGTGGGGCAAGGGCATGTTAGAAGTCAGGGTTGTAAGTTTCAAGGAGGGGCTGCAGCTCGCGCCTCTCACTGGGATGATGTATGAACTCACTCTAATTTGCTTCTGAATCAATAAACTTACTATTATTCATCAAAAAAAGAGGGGGGGGGGAAACAGGGGAATAGAGGGAGATCGAGGAAGTTACAGGGGAGGGAAAAGAGGTGAATGTGGGGGTTGAAGCTGAGAAGGCTGTTGGGTAAGACAATTCTGAGAAAGGCAGAGTGAGCATTGGTCAATTGGTGGATAAACACATGGAGGTTGGGAAACAAGGGTGTTAGACGTTGGGGTTGAAAGGGGGGAAACAGGGGAACAGAGGTAGATTGAGGAAGTAATAGGGGAGGGAGAAGAGGAGAAATTGGGGGTTGAAGTTGAGAAGGCTATTGGGAAAGACAATACTAAGAAAGGCAGAGTGAACATCGGTCAATTGGTGGATAAACACGTGGAGGTTGGGAAAACATTGGGTTTATTTTTTCTGGGAGGGGAAGGAGTGGTTAGGGAAGCAATTGAACAGTTTGAGAGAAGTAGAAGGGAAGAACGGAATAGAAAAAGAGATATCGGGGAAGGAGGTGAGGTTTGGGAGGGGTGGGAAGAGAGGGAAGAAGGAATTGCTGATGAGGTAGAAGGAGAGTGAGGTTTGTATGTTGAACTCGAAGATGAAGCTGATCTCATGGATCGGAAGGGGCTTGGGTGATGAAGGAAGGAGAATGGTAGTAAGGAACATTAAGCAAGGATGGTTTGAAGGTGCATGCCATTTGCACTCATCTGGAACATAGGAAAGGAGAGAAATAGAAGGATTCTGAAGACAAAGCTTGTAAGCTGGAAAGGGGTGCTGGATGCTAGCAAATCTGTTGCATTTTGGCTCCTTGTATTTCCAGATAAGTTTCTAATGAGGACCTTGGAAAATCTTGGGGAAGATTTTGGGTTTTCAAATGGAAATTTGAATAGCTTGTACTGAGGTGTAGTTGAAGGGTTCTATTGTATTTCTCTCTATGTTGGGTGTTGTCTTATCACTTGATTATGATGTAGCCTTTTTCTTTTTTGTTGATGGAATTTTATTTTTATTTTACTATCAAAAGAAAAAGAACTGCCATTGATAGTGCTATTCTGTGATAAGCCTAACCTCTAATATCATGAACCACCCCATCATGCTCCTATGCATCCATGATCCTCTTGAAATCTAATCCGTTCTACATTTCTCATATTGAAACTTCAACTGTGATAAAATCCATATAATCTCTCACAATTCCTTTGCATGCATATGACCCCACATATGATAAAGTCATAATGAGACTTGCTGATAAGCTCATTCAAAAATCTTGGCCTTCCCATTTGAACATCTTGTTCCAATGGATTCCATGTTCAGCAAATGATCTTGTGGGTAATCTCACAAAGAAAGGTGTATAAAAGAATTTTTTTCATTGGCGGCCAGGTCTTCATTAATTTTTCTATGTATCTTGCATGTCTCTAATCTACTACTCCCAAGGCCCCACTGGGATGAACATCGGTTAATGGCCTTTTTGCATGTATGTAGTTTTAGCCAAGGGACTTAAAGCTACAATTGAGGTATCAAGCATTTTGTACCATAGTGACATGACAAAACTAGTTTTTGTAGTTATCTTTATTCTTTCCCCCTCTCACTTTTTTTTTTTTTTTTTTTTAATTTTTTTTATTGAGAAGGTGAAGTAATGTATTGTATTAAGTAAAGCCAAAAGATAGAAGATAGGGTCCCTTGTACACGATCTGTACATTGGGAATGTACACCTGAAATAAAACTCTCAATACAACTGTATGGAGTATAACATTTAGAAGTTTACAAAAAGATTTTCAAGATAAAAAACGAAATTGTAGTTTCTTCCAATAAAAAGCTTGTGAATTGTGGTTGCCCAGCCAAAAGAAAAAAAAAACATCATTCCCATTATCCTTTTTACCACCCCTTCCTCTGAGCCCTGTTTGTTCTCAAAAGTCTACCAGCCTTTTCTCCCCAAATAGAGCAAAACACAGCTGCAGGAATGGTATCCACTCCACTTCGCCTCTTCCACTCATACCTTTCAAGTACTATCCTCCTAAGAAGTCCTTTATGTCTGCAGGGAAACAACCCTTGACTGCAAAAATCTGGAGAAATTTCATCCAAATCTTCTAAGTAAAGCCACAATGTAATATGAAATTGCTTACTGTTTCCTCACATCTGTTGCACAAGACACAACCCTTCATCCTCTCATGTTTTGACAAGATTTTTTGCTCTTTGAACTTTAAAAGATAATTCATGCTTCTGCAGGGGAATTAGAGCCAATGCATCCTTTTCATTCCTTGAAGTTGTTGTGGGTTGTGAGATCATAAAAGGCAAAGTTAGCTCAGAAGTTAATAGTGGTGATCTTGATTGCATGCAAAAGAAGATGATTTATTTGCATTTGAAAAAGTTTTTTCGTGGTACCCGTTTTGCAAATCACCATTTTCTTAGAATTCTTCAGTCCAAGCATAAAGAGGGAGACCTTGTATGTATCAGTGGTAAGGTGAGTTTTAAGTGTTATTTTTCTGCAAATTATTTCCTTTGCTTTTGAATCTGGTTGGGAAAAATGTAATCATCATTAAATTTCATTTAAGAAAAACATGGTTTTGCTAATCTTTGTTGAGGTCGAATTGTGGCTTCACTGGAAACAGTTAGTTATTGTCCCAAGATATTGTTATTTATGAATTTACCTTTTATGGAACTATAATGTAATTAGTTTGCTTTCAGTAATACTGAGAAAATTTAATTATCTATTTACCTGGTCCTGGTCTGATTATTAATTAGGTCCAAGGAGATGTACATAGACACTGATACTTGGTTTGGTCATCAAGAGAAAAAGGTACTTGTTGTTCTGCCTGCATGAGTTAAATTGGTCACATTGGCAGGGCTTATGACCTTTTAAGAGTGGAAATTGGTCACATTGATGACCCTTGCACCTAGAAAGGGGCACTAGATGCCCTACCCCTTGAGGAAGCCATACAATAAGCAACTGCCCTCAAATTAAAGTTGATGTACAATATGATTTACCTTGCTTGGTCCCACTTCTGTTCTAAAAAAGATAACACTAAACTTTGAACCCTCTAAATCAATCTTTTTTATTTGACCTAGGCATTAAGAATAAAGATTGGTTTCATGACATGCACATTTTATGATATTCACAAGGATCACAACTCCATTGGACCATAACTCATCACACCAAAAAATGTTAGTAATCCCATAAACTCTCTACTCTGGTGCTGATGATTTTGCTTCCTCTTTTATAGTTGTAATGGAAAATGTGTTAATGATCAAAATAAGGAATAAAGAACATGATCTGTGTAGTCCAAATGCAAGAAAAGAAGCCTCTGAGGCAAACAATACTATACATACATGCCTATTGTTAAATTGGTAGTGTGGTAAGTATGTTTCACTTATTCTCACCTTTGTCCTTGCTAACCTATATGCCATGGAGCAGATGGAGCTAGCCAGAATTGGATCCCATCCTTGCCTCCATAGTGAAATGTCCTAACATCGAAGCCCCCTGTAAGTTGTTAATCGATGACCAGTCACCATCTGAGAGTCACCTTTGTATTTAATTATTTACCCTATTAGAAGCAGAAGAGAATATATACTTGACTCATCCTGGAAGAGATGATATCTTTTGCCCTTGGGAACTTTGAGATAATTGGAAAATGGCATGAATGTCTCATTCAGATAGGTTCAAAGGTCAGCAAATTCATTGGCTAATTGCTGGGAAGTCTGGAATAGCTGTTAAAGGAGATTCATCCAGTGGCATCAGATGGTGTCAGAATGTAGGGAGTGGCCCTTGGCATTTGGCTCATTATCTATGTGAATTCAAAGAGACTTTTTTTAATTAGTTAAAAAGGAATTTTATTAATTAAAAGTCATGTCGAAGAAGCAATACAGCAGACGGGGGAGGTGGTGATAAGACTGAGAAAGCATGACAGAGGGTTACCAGTTACTCCACAATGGCAACCAAGTGGAAGAAAGAGATTGTAGTGGAGAAGAAGAGCTTTCTGTTTGAAGAAACTGGTAGAAGTTCGTTTCTCAAAATCTGGGAGGTAAGAGGTCTATGGTGATTCTGAATAGAGAAGCCAGGGAATGGCTTCAAGGCTTCACCGATGGCACAATTTTTGTGGTTCCAGAACTGGGCTGGAGAGTTGAACTATGTGTGGAAGGGTAGAAGTTAACAGTGGAAAAGAAAAGAAATTCCAGGGGAGCTTTCATCGAGCAGTATGAAATGTATGGGAAGGCGAGGAGGCAGAGGTAAAAAGGGATGGAAGAAAATTGCTGAAGCCCTTAAAGAGTTTGAAGAGAGGTGCTGGCTAGTGGAGAGGAGGCACAAGGGTCCGAATGTTCCAAAGGTCGACTCAGGGGACAAGGATCGAATGGTCCCAAAGTTGATTCAGGGGACAAGCAAGAAACCAGGTTACAAGGAAAACTTGAGAAAGAACAAACTGTTTTGGGTATCTATGGAGGCTCTGCGGAATCGAAGCTAATGCTTGAGGGAAGTCTGAAGGAATGGCAGAAAACGATAGTGGTGAGAGTGGGTGTGGCTAAAAAAGTTGAGGACTGGGAAGGAGTCTTGGATGATATTCTAGAGGTTCTCCATATCAAAGAAAAACCACTAATCTTACCGTTTGATGATAAGGAAGCTATTCTGGATGTTGGTGACCTTTAGAACAAGATTACCTTGGTGAATACCAGAACTGGAATGTTGATTGAAAATTGGAGTTTGGCATGTAATGAAAAGGAGATTGATGCAGGTTGTGATCAAATTAAAATCCTTGGGCTTTTCTTTAATCTCTAGACAGTGCAAGTGTTTCAGCAAAGTTGAGCAGTTTGTGGTGGAGTGTTGGTGGTGGTGAACATTTCCAATGCTTAGGCAGTAAGGCTAAAGATTGTAGGAGCTAAACCAGATGTACCTCGCACTCCATGGAAGTGTTCACTGGTGGACATTGGTGGAGGTTGTGGCTGGCTTCGGCAGCCGAAGCGGCACTGTGGGAAGAAGGGAGGAAGGAGGAAGACGCAAGTGACGTGGTAGGGTGGGAGCCATGTGGAAGAGAAGGAGAGGCTGGTGGGAAGCTAGTTTTGAGGAAGACTTATGGGGAAGGTGTAAAGGTGGGGGAGGTTGATGAAGGCTCTAACTTGCTTTCGAAGGAAAATTACTCAAATGAATTTGAACTCCATTGGGAGTAAGCAATTAATAGGGGAACCTCCTACGTAGAAGCTCTTAAAAGAGGCAAAGGTGGGGGTGGGTCTGTAAGTAAAATGGGGTCAGACCACCCGGTTGAATCAGCTCTGAAAAGGCCTCACATGATCACATAAACGTCATGTGTAGAGAGGAGGGTAGTTTGATGGGAAACCGTAGGAAGGGTCTATTATTGCCCCCTTTGACGATGAACAGAGCCTAGGTGTGAAAGACAGGCTTTTCACAGTGGATTAAACAGCAGCTCCCTCACCAGGACAAACTTAATCCCAAATACTCCAGAGAAAGAAAAAATTGGCTGGAAGATGAGGACGATGGGGACTGGATTAACTGCGAGGACATTGAAGAGAGTATTTTAGGAGATGGCAGTAGTTTTGACAATCTAGGCCCTTCTGGGATAGGAGGGGTTAATAGAGAGCAATGTTTCTGGGCATAGTTGTAATTTAAAAAGTCATAGTCACTGTTTTTGTTGTTTCAATTGTAGGGGGTAGTCGAGGCTGCCATGTGCTGTACTTTCACTTTTACTTATAATATCTTATCTGTTACTGATAAGAAAAAGTAATTAGGAGATGACTCTATTGGTAGTGGTGATAGTACGCTCCAGGTGTGCATCTAGCAAGAAGACACTCTCTAGCCTCCCTATTCACTGAGGAAAGGGTTAGCTGCACAAATTTGCAAGTGGCTAATAGTGTTACTGGTGAGAAGTGAAAGAGGCGATAGAACAGTATGAAGTAGGCCAAAAAGGAACAACAAGTGATTTAGAGCTGCAACTTGAGACAGAGAGTGGTGAAAACATTCCAATCCAATTGAAGCATAGGTCATACTTGTATTGGGAAGAAAAAGAACTAGTCACAGGTCAGCGGCAAGAACCAGGTGTCTGGACATTGGAAATGTAGTTGAATCAGAATTTTTCCATTGAAGCTCTGGTTGGGGAAGCAAGATCAAAGTCTTTACAACAAAATGTTAACATACATGGATACTTCTCAACCCATTGAAGCAAGATCAAGGTGTCCCTTCCCACCTGTTGCTTTGCCAAGGCATCAACAAAGGCATTAACACATCTTTTTACCCATTGAAGCTTAACTTCAATGCCTTGCATCACGCCATCACCCATTTTAATTTCCTTTTCTCATTAGTGTAATTTTTTTTTGATCAATAACAGGATTTCATTAGAAGTATTATGAGCAGAAATACATGAGCAGGAGAGAAACTTTCTTAACTCTCCAAATTATAAATTAGCTATTACAATTAAACCCAGAACAGATTACTCCTTCCCACCCCTTGCTTTGCTATTACATCAGCAAACCCATTTGCTGTTCTTTTTACCCAATTAAACTTTTTGTCATTAGTGTAATTTCACCAACCCAACTCCTCTTTTTGCAGCCAACTAATTACCAACTTTGAGTCCCCTTCAATGATCAATTTTTTGATGTCCAACTATCTTGCTATCCGAACACCCTCCATCACAGCCATGATCTCAGCCTTCAAGGAATCCCCCAAACCAATTGGGCCGGAGTATAGAGCCACAACTCTTCCCTCATTCCGAAAAAACCTCCTATGCCTGATGGGTCCGGGTTTCCTTCACTGCTTCCATCAAAGTTCAGCTTAATAAATCCGGAAGTAGGAGGAAAGAAAATCGGTTTAATAACAGTCTTAGATAAAGATGAGTAGCCACCTCCTTCCATTTCCTAAGTAGTGCATCGAAGGGAATGTCATCAAAGCTACTCAAAGATTTCACCCAATGTACCACTCTTATGGTGATTGTATCAATGGGAGCTTCTTTACTGCTCTCCTTGTTTGAGAATACTCTTTGATTTCTTTCCTCCCAAACTAACCAATAAACAACTGCTCTTGTATATCTCCATAGGATTCTCCCCCCTCCGTTTTCTCTAAGTAACAAAGGTTGGGTCGTACAAGCTTCGAACATTTGGCGGGGGGTTCCACTTGCACCAAACAAAGAGAAAAACCATTCGCAAATAATAGAAACAAATGGACAAGATATTAACAAGTGGTAGCAAGTCTCACCATTGGCCTTACAAAGGATGCACCAATTAGGGGAAAGACACCTATTTTTGTCTCTTCCTCTGAATGAGATCACAAGTATTGATTCTTTCTATTATCGCTTCCCAACAAAAGCCACTAACCTTGGGAGGAATAGGATTGTTCCAAACCTCTTTAATAGGAAAAGGCACCATAGAAGTGTTTGTAGGTTGAGACAAAGCTAAGAAAAAGGAAGCACAAGAGAAGACACCAGAAGAAGCAAGGCACCAAAACCGACTATCTAGCATTGAAGG